ATGTGAAGGCGAGTGTAACATCCTTCTGTGTATACCTGTGTGGTTACGTCTATGTGAAGGCGAGTGTAACATCCTTCTGTGTATAACTGTGCAGTTATGTCTATAAGCATGAGTTTAAAAGTGCGTGTACACATCTGAATGTGTCTGCCATATGAAGGAAATTTTCTTGGAACCTCACAAGAAAACCATTTTGTGAGACAACAAATACTTCCCTGTATAGCCAATAACAGTCCAGTTCCTCATTCTGTATTAATCCTTTTGACAGGTAGGGGATGAATCATCTATATTGCCCCCAAAACTCCAAGAGGAACTCCTGCAGGAATTAAGCACCAGAAAAGAAAATTCAAGTAAGGGTTATTTTATTATATTCTCAATTTATCAGTATATAGAAAATGATGTTTAAATTGGTAACTTTCACAGCTGAATTGTGACCAGTACATTAGAGCTGAACAACCTTTGTTTGCAATTACCGTATTGTGGGACCCGTAAAAGTACAATGTAATAGCCAAAATGATTACCTCCGCAGCAGAAGGTGATGTTCCCTGACACTGGGAGATTACATCACCCAGGTACAGTGGTTAGAGTTGCCCAATCAAGTGCCAAGTTGCAGTAAATTGCTGTTTTACACCCTTGAGCATTCAGCAAACTTGCACATTCTCTGTCTTTATCCTCTGGAACGAATGTATATATACAAATGTAAATGGTAAAGGTAGAATTCTTTGAATAAAATCCAAGATGTGATGAAATACTGTGAAAATCAACAGGTGAAAATCAATTATTTGACACCACTGAATTCCACAGTTAGAATTGACTGATGTATAATCAGCATTTGAACAGGTGTTGATGTTAAATTATGACTATTCTGGTCATTCTGCCATGACAAGACCAGCCTGCAGCTGCACTAATCAGATCATTCAACAGGCCAAAGAACAGACTTTCCATCATTAAATGGACCAGAGTTTGTTTTGAATACTCTGCTCTCTACCACCCCCTGCTTGACTAGGTCCAGAGGAACTGAAGAAGGTGGTTTCAGAAGCTTTTGTGTCCTTCTTCGTGAAGACAGTTGGTCATTTTGCCCAGTATGTCAAGCCACAGGATGGAAACCAGCCTGCCTCATTTCACAAGCGGAGCTTTTACAAGGCCATTGAACCGAAGGCTGTACGGCACTTTGTCAAGAAGTTCCTGCTGACACAGATGTTCGACCTCTTCATTCAGGAGGCGGAGCAAAGACAGGGAGCTGCTCAAGGAGGTTAGCTGGGGGTTAGTGGGTCATTAGCAGCGTATAGCAGGACACGAGCTGCAAAGGGTTGATCAGCAGGCAGCAGCTAACATTGTGCTAAAGGACACAACCTTGTAACCAAAGCTAATGCTCCACTATTACACCCTGAATGAAGGTACTTACCTTGAATGGTCTTAATGGAATAATTATTATATTATTCAAACTTTTACTTAATTTAGCTCCACATGGAAACTTTGCCCAATAAATTAAAAAAAAATTCTTCAATCACTTGTTTTCATTAGCATCAGATGTATCCATTAAAGCAGCTACACTGCAAATAGCTGGCAGAGTGTCTCTAGAAAGATGCATTATAGGTGATATTTATAACCAATCACAGGAGAGTAAATATGTATGCAGACTGCTCTGCGGTCTGTCTTGCTTGGACTTTTAGTTACTTTACTGGTACTGGAGAATTACTTTCCTGGTATAATAGCAGTTACCCTTCCTGACAGTTCTCTGCCGTTAGCACCTTTTTAACTCCATCATCTTGGTCCGTGTGGGAAAGTGCACCTCTGTACGAGTATGTTTGGCACATCATTAAGTTCTAGCTGAATATCCAACTAAGTCTGCCCAGATGTTTGTCAGAGTGGCTTCAGATGTCCCGTGTTTCCGTGGATACACCTGTCAGCCATCTCATGAGCCATGTGAGAAGCTAGGCCCACGGTTTCTGCTGTGCTGGTCATTATTCTGAGCGACAAAGGGTTATTACTGACTACACCAGCATATATAATTAATGTGTATTTAAGGAGCGTGAGTGTCCTGTCAGCTGGTGAGCAGAACCACATGGCACAGGCCTCATTACAGGAAGGGAAGGACACACAAGTACAGAAACAAAGGACCAGACAGACGAGCTAAAAAATAAAGCTGGGTGCCTCCCACAGAACCACAATATATCTTTTTTGGGAACTAATTAACACAAAAACCATGGTCACCTGACCCTCCCTCCTGTGCTGGCCACACCCCTTTTATACTGACCACACCCCTTTATACTGGCCACACCCCCTTTGTACTGGGAGCTCTTTGGGTTACTAATTCGGTGCCTTCATCCTTTGTCTTTTTTAGGGCATTTTTGCAGAAAGATTGTTGAATACCAAGAAAAGAAGAAAAAAGAAAAGGCAAAGAAACACTAGGATGGACATTGTATCATACAAACTGTGAACCAAGGCATAGAAAAATGTATGAATGAGGTACATGTAGATAGCCGTGGTTTTTAAATGTAATGAAAGTAAATAATTCTGTATTTTGTGTGTTTTTTATGTGAAACAATATGGTTTCAGGTTCATTTTAAGATGAGATTTTGAATCTTGCTTTTGAGAGATAATTTAATCAAGTGCTGTAAGGGAAATTAAGGTAAGACTGGTGGTTCAGCAGATGGCTTGAACATGTGGATGGGTGTGAAGCAGAGAATGTGACAGTACTCTCATCAGTAGGATGTTCTGAGAAGTTCCTTCTCAAGGCCTCCTGACACTGGACTTCCTCGCGTACGTGGTAGAGTTGAAATAAAATGTTTTACTTCAAACTGTGGTCACTGCTGAGTTCATTATTAAATAATGTGGTCAAAAACATTGATCATATGCATGAAAAAAATCATTGTAATAACTCAAAACCGTTGTCTGGAATCATTGTAATGATGAATAATGACTAAATGTTTCTAAATACCATTGGTTAAATCGATCAATGACTACTCATTCACAATTCTTGAATAATACATATCAATAGAGGTTACTGTTAAAATTTTTGAAAAAGCAGGAATGAATTTATGAGCTCACACACATATAAACACTATCAATTTCTCAACTAAAGCTGGACTGAAAATCAGTTGTGTGGGATCACAATCAAATTACTTTTGGTAGGCTACACACTCCTGGTTCTGGAGGCTAACCGTTTCAATGGACCAGACAGAAAAATAAATGTAAATGAGTTTATTTAGGGGTACTAGGGCTCAAAGGTTTGACTGGGAAGGACCTCTGCAAAGTGTACTCACTCCAGGTTAGTACTATAGCATCCCGGGACAGCTGCCCTCTGCTTGTAAAACAGAATCTAAGTGAATGGCATTGTGTGGAGAGTCACATATGGCATCATAACATCAAATATTTCATTTTAAAATTCTGCTATGAAAACGAATAACTTGTATTTTCTAAACTACAACTTCTAAATCTCATGTACATAGAATTAAATACAGGGCCAAGATACAGATTTAATCGGCACACAGGGCAGACCAAGATCAGTCACCCTTTAACACAATACTACAACAGCAGTTCAAAATCCACCAAAAGTTAATCTCTCTGAACTTCCCATGAACCTCCGACGACCATGCATGCCAAGGACTAAAAAAAATCAACTTACGGTAAATTTCGCAAGTGTTGTCTCAAACTCCTGTCACTTTTTACATCAAATGTGTTGACATATATGTATATAATTAACCAAAACGGTACAGTAATTTCCCCGTGTTGATATGTGGGCTGCTTTTCGGCTAAAAATATCGCCGATCGTTTTTAGGTTATAGAGATACCCCGATTCACCACTTTAATTTTAACGGTCTACATTTTAAATACCCGGAAAATCTGTTGCATACTTCGCGACGCAAACACTAAATAGATTTTTCTTTGCCACACCATCTAGTTTTAAAACTACCGGGACTTTTATTAATCTCGTTTTCCCCATATACTAATACCACGGAATGTGAGGAAATTCCCAGTAAACTCGGTGATTTCCCCATATTTCTCAGCAGCACCAACGTTTACGGAAACTTTATTTGGGAACTCAGTTTTAAAGGACCAGTAGGCCTATCCCATTAAAGATCCGGGGAAGGGTTGTGCAGCGTTGTGAAGCGTTGACTCGCTTATGCGTAAAACATACCATATACCATTAGCTCACGAAAAACTACTCCGGCCACAAAAATGAAGACGGAGATTACTGTGAAAGTTTCCTGGAAAGCATAGTTCATTAGCTTGTCATTACATACAAATTGCTCTGATCCCATTTACTGAATATTTGTAGTAGAACTCAAGTAATTTCAAGCCAAACGTAGAGTCGTTTCACATGTTTATCCTGTTTTCACGTACATTTGTACAATTCCTTCTGCAGAACACATAGCGGTAATGACTGTGAAAAAAACAGCACCAGGATAAACATTTCATTGAAATAAATCCTCTCATTCATTAAATATACAGTATTTAATATAAAAGTAATATTAAAAAAAGTCATATAAAAACAAGCTGCAATTCATGTTTTGTAGGAAATATTCAAGTGGGAATGAAGTCATTAATTACGTTACATTTATCACATATTTTATAAAGTGAATACACTGTGGTAATACGTTTCCTCAATATGAAAAACGTATTCAGAACTAACTTTCATGATTTTTACCTGAGCAGGATTAGAACGTTTGGCTGAACAGTCCCAAAAGACACCGCGATATTGTGGCCTTGTGCTGAACAGCTTGTGGATTTCTTCAGTTCAATATTTAAAAATGAAAAACACATCTCAATGAAAGGTAAGCTGGTTAATGGTGCCAACTTTGTGAAGTAGTTCCATTCTGAAAAAAAATCAGGAGGCCTACACTTAATGGTTAAAGAGCTATTTAGTTTGATGAGAGAACTTTGACATGACTGTTACTTAAATGATGCTGTGGCAGTCCTCCTTCCAGAACGGGGACCCTTGCTCAAATATTCCCAGCCAGCAATGGGGATTCCTCTCTGTGGTGTAAGCGGGAACTCTCATTGTAGCGTGTAGAGTCATACAAGTGGTTGCTCCTCAGTTCAGCCTCTGCCCGCAGTGTGATTTTCTGGTAAAGGAAGATATACATTTAAATATTACATTTTAGACTCGGCTCCAGAGACATTGTACTGCATAAGTGGTTTTAAGGTGAATGGATGAATGAAAGCATGTAATGTTTCTACCCACATACATACAGAGGAACATGTGGGAACGGGGGTGTTACCTGGAAGTCACGTATGTAGGTAAGGAAGAATGTAACAAAGGAGAAAGCGACAGACCACTCAGCTATAGTGCTGACCAGGTGGGCTGTGTAGGCCTGCAACAGGAGAGATGAGAGTCAGGCTAAGGTGCACAGTGAGAAGGAATGAGAAGGACAAACACAAGCAGAGGGGCTCAGTGACATATCGTGTAAGCTAGTGGCCTCACACACACACAAACACCAAGACCTCACAGGCATCCCAGGGACCCAGTGCGACTTCAGGATCACATCAACAGCAGGCAGACTGCTGTAGCTGATGGCTGAAGACACAATCACTGCAGGTAAGGATTAAGGCTTAGAGAACACTGGTCTGGCAGGGCATGCTCCCTCAACATTACTCAAGAAACAGCTGAGCAGAGCATCCTTACACTAAAACATCACCCGTTAATTGTTGTAGCAGGAATATCACTGCATTCCAGCTCTGTTCAAACCCAAAGACAAAGAAATCATGCAGGATTGTACCACAGTATAATGAACACACTACCCCCCCCCCCCAAAAAATAAAATAAAAATAAAAAAAACAGGCAGCAACACACTTCCAGATTACAGCTGGGAGGCTGAACACAGCCCCAGCCCTCTAGCAAGCGCAGTCTGGCCTCACAATCCACAGTTAAGACCTAGGAGTTTCATTCCCTGCCTGGCCCTGGGCCCCGGAGAGGTGCTTCCCCTTCTGATCTTAACCTTTTATCACTTTTAGGCGATGAGCCTTGTGTTTTAGGTATAAATCTGTCTGAAACCGAACAGTAAGTGTAAAGGATTGTTCTTCTGATCGCCTAACTGATCATGGTTCTACTGGGCGTAGAAATTTTAACTGGGATGGTACTTATTAGAGCAACACTTTTCCACAGTTGTGACCAGTTCCCCAGTCTCAACAATGCCAGCTTGTCCACAGGGTTTACCTGACATGTCTAATCTGTGATTTTACCATGTGTAGCATTGTTTAATAACCAATAACAGAATTTTATTATATCACCATGTCCACCTACTTCTTGTCAACTTGCCCATTCTTTCAATCTGCTTCCAGTTTCAGCCTCTAGCTTGGACTTCAGCCACCTGCCTTACATGCAGTAGACATTACGGTTTTAATTGGTGATCCCTCCTGCTCGGCAGTATCACTGGAACGTTCTGGAAGGATACTGATGATAATACTGGCCAAGCTCCACAGGCCCATGGCCAAGCGCACCAGGAACACCCTCTTGCTGTGGACGTGTGGCTGCATGTGGTAGGACACTGCCGACTCCACCAGGACATACAGCATCCCCAGGCCAAAGGTCATGGCAGCCCCCAGAAGGTGCATGAAGAGCAGGGTGCTTTTCTGCATCGAGTAGCATAAGGAAAATAATCAGTTATGCAGCCACACAGGCAGGGAGTGCTGCTGTCATGGACTGAATCTGAGAGTGAGTGGCTGGGCCTCTGGTCATACCTGGAAATTGGCAACAACACACATTCCCAGGCAGCTCCCGAAGCCCAGAGCCAGGCCGAGTGCATTCAGGCAGTGTACTCTGTGTTTCTCCCTCATCATCAGGACCTGCACTTGTTTGTAACGCACATACATGGTTGCCATACCTGCAGACAGAGTGCAACATAGGAAAACCTCACTATGCAGCCATATTACTGTATTAAACATGCAAATATGTTTAACATCAAATAAACATTAATGTATGCTTTATATTGATTATATTCATTATAAAATCTTCTTACCAACTTGATGAAATTAAAAGGTTCTTTTACGAATTGCCTCCCCTCAATATTTGGGTGACAGTTATCTCTCATCTGGATTAATTACAGTTTATTCTTTTTTAACAGTATCACTTCCAGCTTAGGTTTTACTTTTGACTGTCTTTATGAACATCAGTCATCAAAAGACTAAGAGCCTATCAGTGCCAGACAAATATAAAACCATTACTACCTAGGAAGGAGGAGATATTGAGCATTATCCCAAACAAACAGCGTTCTGGAGGCTGGGTGCCAGAGTCACTGTAAATGCAGCAGACAGAAAGGCAGATGTCAGAACAGGTGTATGTAGTCCACACCCTTAACAATTAGCCATGGATGTGTGATATTGGTCAGCAAATTTAACCGAAATTGTGGGAGAAAACTGGCTTTTGTTAATCTTAGTCTGATCATGTGACATCATGTCATCCTTCATAACACTAAATAATAAACATTTATAAATGATTATAAACAATTTCATAGACTAACAAAATATTGTATTATGTATTTAATAAGATTTTTCATGTGAAGATCCCTGAACAGGACAAGGGGGTATGAAAAATGAATGAACAGCATAAATCAATATGAAACTTATTTGCATACTGCACATCTATTGGCTCCTGGCCTTACAAGAATTTCTTTAAGCACAAACTCACAGCATGTTTGGAAAAATATAATTAAAATGTAAAACAAAAGACATTACAACTCTTCTTTGGTATTTTCCCCCAATTGCCCTTGTTTACAATCTGACAAATTCCATTTGCTAAACAAGATTATCAAGGAGTAGAAACAGATCAAATCAGCAACCTAGGCTAAAGGAAATTTACATTCCAAATAAGCAATGATGTATGATGTGTTTTCACAAATGCACAACTAGGTTTTACCATGTGTGTGTACTTAAGGTAGAGATACGGCATAATGCAAGACATCTGTTTGTTGGCCGTTCATCAACCCTACGTTAAATGTTTGCCTTCAAGCACATAACTCAGTTTCCAAGAGACACCTTGTGGTCAATCCTCAAACTACATCAATCAGAACCAGTTACAAAAGGGTGGAATGGTTATTCACAATGACAATTTAAAATACACAAATGATAATCGGTTCATTAAGAAAATCCGAGATTGGTAGACTTACCATAAGCTTCACACTATGTGAATACAACAAAGCTAAAGAGATCTTTATCAAGAACTTGTATCCAGAGAAACAAAGAAATCTTACAGTTATATACAGTTTGGCCCAGAGGTTTGGAAATTTAGGCTAAATACATATTAATTTATGATGAGTAAGCTTGCCAAATAGAATAGTTGGTCCCTTTGTGGAATCTGTGTTACTCTGTGAGGGCCACAGCCTTCAGTGCCGCGGTCTTCCTGGGAGGCCACAAGGGCTGTACATTACACTGGGTCCACAGAGGAACAAAATTACACTGGGTCCACAGAGGAACAAAATTACACTGGGTCCACAGAGTTACAAAATTACACTGGGTTCCACAGAGGAACAAAATTACACTGGGTCCACAGAGTTACAAAATTACACTGGGTCCACAGAGGAACAAAATTACACTGGGTCCACAGAGTTACAAAATTACACTGGGTCCACAGAGGAACAAATTTGAGAGGATATAATAAAGTAGAAAAAATGTTCTTCCACTTGCAGTGACAAAAATGTAAGCAACACTCTTAACTACTTTAGTACAATCTTTAATAACAAATAATAGCATACTGATTATCTAATACAAACTGATAAGATTCAAGAATGATCAAAATTACTTTGTTCAAGTAACAAAAAACTGCAGCATTACAGATAGAAGGACAGGACTTTGGTGACCTTAATTGGATCAGTTACTGAGGATGGATGGATGCTTTGGATATAAACCTAAAATGACCCAATAATTATCATAATAACATACCTCTTTCCAGCTAACCAAAGGCTCTTCATTTTATTACCAGATTTGGGTTCACTTTGTCTCCTGCCAGTCAATCACTCACCAGCGTCTGCTGCTAATCCACCACTCTGCAAAGCCACTTCCTCCTGCTATTCCCCTCACCAACATGTCTTATCCAGTTCTTGTTGGTCCTCACCTTATATAGGGCAACCAGGGATCCACGTGGCTCAACATTACAGCTATGACATAAGGCAACATGAAGGTGGCCGTTGAGCAGACCACCAGGAATGCAGGGAGTGCACAGAGTCCCTCCTGGAACCACCACATGGGAAGAACGCAGAGGTGGGTCTAGCAGAAGAGCTGGTGTGATCCTGCGCACTGCTGCTGTACTCGAATGAGCCTAACCCAGAGAGAGGGAAATGCAGAGCATTAAGTAATGCGAGTCAGTCAAGATGAAGAAATAATGAACAGCTGACTGCCGATTGGCTATGCGGTTTAAATCACCCAAAGCTCCTCCTCATATGATTATCTCACAGCACGTTTACGTCACATTTTTTTCTCAGGCAACAGCATAGAGCAAAAGTAGGGCAACCTGGAACCACACAAGCCGACAATGCCGGTCAACCCCAGGCAGCCAGTAACACAACACAGGCACACAGAGACAGTGGCCGTCCTTTGCAATTACAGAAATGCAGCTATTATTATGAAATGCTTTTTTAAACAGATCATTTTTTTTCCTTTACTGAAATAATTGGTTACCACAAATAGATAAAACAGAATTTCCTGAGTTCAGAACAAATGTGCACTGCAAATATAGGTGAACCCCAAGCTGAATTACCTAAATAAAGTAAGCAAGTATAATCAGGTGGGTAAATTAATAGGTAAGGAAAAGTTAACCAGACTGATCTTTAGGAAACGGTCTGCTCTGCAGACTGCAAACAAGAATGTTATCTATAAGTGTATGTAAACACACTAGTGAGTGTGCATAAGTCTGGTGAAGGTTATAATCACAACAAAATACTGCTCTCCATCAAACCACTGTGGGAGAGTATTTAAAATAACAATGACTGACTACAAATGGCTATCTTTCTAAAAGAACACCAAGTCATAAGAAAAATTAATCAAGCAAAACACAACCCAAGAAAAGCATCCAAAATTCTAGAAGTCTCTCTTGCTGCATATGATGTTCTGGTTTACCTCTCAGCAATAAGAGAAATGTTGGATAGATCTTCATGTGAAGGCATTCCACAAAGACCGTTCTGTCATCTAAAAAGAACCCAAATATCTATTTAAGTTTACCAAAGATATTGCCTAGACAAAGCTGAATATTTTTGAAGCCTTTTCTTTAATAGTTTTGTTACAAATAAAAATGTCATCCTTCCAAGAAAACTCAACAATGGCCACTAAAAACACCTCTACTGTAAATCATGAGGAAGGGAGTGTCAGTGTCAATATCTGTGGCTGACATTCTAAAGTTGGCTGAAACTGCAGTGAGTGTTCATGTTCCAGTCAAAATGCTGTAGCAGGAAGCTAGCTGTTCATAGCAGATAGCCTCAAACCTCACTCATTTGAGGAGTTGAAATATGCCAGAGATTACACCCTAAAAGCACATATGTTAAAAACAATAAATGTAAACACATCCATGTATCTAGTTAAGGGCAACACAATGTGTGAGTTTTACTAAAAGCAGTTTGTTCCCCCGTTTAACACAGGCAGTGCATTAAATGTTTTTGACACAAAAGTGTTACAATCAAAAGAACTGAGATACTGTACATGCAGTTACCCAGCAGACAATGTCAACTGAACTTCAGTGTGCAGTGTGATTGGAACAGGTATTTAAGACATAGAGTTGTCAATTAACCATTCTTAGGATGTATCAGTGGCTGTAAGAGAAATTTAATTGTAAGAGTCATCTCTTGGTGTAAATTGGGGTGCCAAGCATTTTAAGTGGAAGGGCATTATAAATAAGTTTATGAACAGTGCTGTTGTATGTGGCAGTGTGGTCCTGGGCGAATGATACGTCATGCCACTGTATACCTGACTATGACAGTAAAAGCCCACTTGACTTCCTAGTGGTTTTGACAGTTGGTTCAGCTGCCTGTTCTGGTTAAGTAACAAATGTCCGAAGTCTGGTTGTTAGGGTCAGGGAGAGCAGAAGCCCCGTCTACGGCACATCCAGCGTGCCTCAGTTTGGGATTTCTGTTTAGGCTGTGGTTAAATCGCTAAAGCAATACTGTTTGAACATACCCGCGTTCACAAGTGTGCATAAGGGTGCACGTTGTCCTATTTTATTTATCTTGGTAGATAAGCGTCAAATTAAAACATTCAACCAGATATACTACCAGTTCCAAAGAAGAAGGCAAATAGCCGTTTGGGCAACATACCTTTACGTAAATGGTGGTCAGTCCAAAACCTGACCAAAAAGAAGTTAGACACCGCAATGCTCCGCAGTCATTACGCTAGATGCAGTTCTGTTTTTAACTTCTTTCTTTTTCTCCTTTTTCGTAAGACGGGGGCTTCTTTCGGGGGGTCAATAGACAAAATGTTACCATTCACTGAATGATGGCAAAGCGGAAATAAAAGTAGAACATCCTGTGCGGTTAAAGATTGCGCCTGAGTGCATTTACAGTTTCAGCCGTATACGAAGTTAGTCTAGAAAAACATGTATGCTATAAAATCTGTTTACTGCGCAAAAATATTACCTTAGATGGTAATGTTTTGGTGTGATCAACTGAACTTTGCCTGATCTACTTTTCAAAATGTTGTAACAGATATTAAGAAATAGATGAGCAACTGAAAAATCAGAAGCCTCTGTTACACAATTCAAGTCAGAACCTGTGATAGTCTGATGCATGTCGGCGTTAACGGTCAAAATTGTTGCGGTATTTTCATTGTAATGGAAACGTTTCTGTTCTTCCATCTGGGTATGAACTGCTAAGTGGGTGAATGTTATGCCGGGAGGTTTTAATTAATCAAAACACAATATAGCAATTCAATATAGTGTCATTACAGCATTCTAATAGTAATGAGACAGTATTTTCAGTAGGCCAGTAACATATCGTTATATAAACTAGACAGAAATTTCGGTTAAAAGATTCTCTTGATATGACAATACTACCTTCACTAACTCTATACTAATCTATAAATAGACAAAACTCTATACTAATCCATAATAGAATTTATTCAGAAGTGAAAAGCAACTGTAATTCGTCTTTTCAGAGTTTGGTAAATTCGATCGACCGTACCTAATTTTGTCTTCAAAATTCCAGACAAGCACGGTTAAAGATTGTTATAGAAACGAAGAATTTTACTTATTAAAGCGGATGATAAACAATAAATTAATACATTTTAATGACTTCTTTTAGCCTGGAAGGTTTGATAAAAAGTGAAAAAAGAAAAAGGTACTACAACAAAGCTGGACTTGTCGACCAAATTATTTTTAGGCAAGCAACGCCATCTAGTTTTCAGGTCGTTTATTGAATAGCGGTGAAGCTGATTAGATGTAAAATATTACTGAAATACAGCACCCCGAAGAGGATACGACTTGCCAATAGGAAGCACAAATTGTACTCGCATAAGAATTCTTAATTATGATTTCTAAAAGGATTTATTAAAATACTAAGTTTAATACATTTAAATTTCGCTAATAACCAGCGAGTGCAATATATAACAATTTTGTTATATATTCTTCAAACTGATGTTATTTGTCTGTGCGGATTCCAATGCCCCAGTGCAGTGACGGGGACACTGTGGCCAACAGGTTAGCCCATCCTGTGGTCTGTGCGGGTCCCAATGCCCCAGTGCAGTGACGGGGACACTGTGGCCAACAGGTCCCAATCCTGTGGTCTGTGCGGATCCCAATGCCCCAGTGCAGTGATGGGGACACTGTGGCTAACAGGTCCCAATCCTGTGGTCTGTGCGGGCCCCAATGACCCAGTGCAGTGATGGGGACACTGTGGCTAACAGGTCCCAATCCTGTGGTCTGTGCGGGCCCCAATGACCCAGTGCAGTGACGGGGACACTGTGGCCAACAGGTTAGCCCATCCTGTGGTCTGTGCGGATCCCAATGCCCCAGTGCAGTGATGGGGACACTGGCTAACAGGTCCCAATCCTGTGGTCTGTGCGGGTCCCAATGCCCCAGTGCAGTGACGGGGACACGGTGCTGTTCAAATGGTGCCATCCTTTGGTTGAGATGTAAAAAAAAAACACCACCTTAGCTACCATGCGGCAAGTGTACTGGTGCAGAATGGCTGCCGTTACACCATCCAGGTGGATGCTACACAACGATGGTGGTTCAAGTGCTTCTGTAAAGTGCTTTGGGTGTCTTGGAAAGCACTATACAAGTATGACATTCACATCTGACTTGATCCAGTCACATGTTTTGCAATTATATATAATTACATGAAAATTGTGTGTGGGAGTGGATCTTATTGCATTAAAACAAACAATTAATTGTGTTAAAAAACAAAATTCAAAATTAAACAGTCAAATACATCAGAGGGAAATAATGATAAATTTTAAAAAATTAATATAGTCTTAAGTAAAGGAAAATGATGTGTGAAAAAATAATCATCCATTATCATAAATATAGCAATCTTTATTTACATAAGCATGTTTTATTTAAAAATTATTTTTTTACAATCAAGAAAACAAATTTAAGAATCATGTAACCCTAAAAGGCAAGAAACAAAGTTTTAGACAAATGAAACTGAACAAACTTCTCTTAACTAAACAAAACTTGACAGCCTTGGCCAGAATTTAAGATATCAAACGAAACAAAAAGGGAAGAAAAACCTTCCATGTTCTACATTCGATGAAATTAAACTATTATTTTTCGATGAAGCATGTTAAAGTCTAACAACTTTGGTTATAATGTAGCTAAAGGCAGTGTCTCTTAGAGCTGTGCACCTTGTTATTAAATACTACTCGCTTTTATAATTTTCACGTCTTGATACATAAATGTAGCTCACAAAGGGGTTAGAAAACCCAGAGACATCACTTAACATTTTTATGTATACATACATTCAAAATTAAACTGATGGTTAAGTTACTGGTGAATAATTGCATACCTTTAACAGAAGTTACAATTTCTTTTAAATAATGAACATTTATAGGCAGACATTTTTAATTTTGTATAAAACTAAATGACACTGTATGGCAATGGCAGATATGACTGTGCCTCATTTTTGGAGGAATCAAAAAACAAAAAAAGTGATGTTACATGCGTAGTCACAAAACTGTAAAGACCTTAAGTCTTGTGACCAACAGAACAGGCATTTAATTATAGAGAAACCAAGATGCAACACCAAGCTGGCCTGGAGTCAAACTTAGCCACAGACACTATCGACAGAATCCAGATGGAGGTAAACAGCGTATAGCAGCTTTCAATGGATAATTCTGAGCGGGGGGGGGGGGGGACGACGACACAGACTGGCTACTGACCTTGGTATGTTTAGACTGATAATTGATAATATTGTACACCTGAGACTATCCTGCTACAAATAAAAAGTATCCTTTTCCAGTCCAAAAAGAATGTCCTGCTTATTGTACAAATATTCAACATCAAACATGGGGAAACAGATTCAAGACTTAAGGCAATTATTTACTACTTACTGAAAAATATAGCATAGAAAATGAGTTTAATAGACATGATTTATAAATGTACTTAAAGACTGACATAACACCAAAATGATGCATCATTTTACACCTTCA